AGAGATCAAGATAGAAATGATAAACAAATGATAAAAAGCAAAAAGAGGCAGATTAATGGTATGTTGTGATTGGCTGTTTCTTATTTTTCCATTACACGTGACACGTATCTAACCAATCATTTCTACCTTGTTCTCTGACAAGGCTTATGTTAGAGTATGATCTGTTTCCTATATGTTATTTATCCTATCATATATATATATATATATATATATATATATATGCAATATACGTTATAATGTAATTGTTTTACTGTTTTAAGTCAGTTATCCATCGAGATGGCACGATGACGTGCTGATTCAGCTCAGTGTGAGGTAGTATGTCTGACCACGGCGTTGGTGGACACGGCTAATCTACATCTTGTCTCGTATTAAGGCTGTCTACGTTCACTGTCGAGTGCGCTGGCAATATTGTCAACTGTGTTTCTACTTGTGCCGAAGAACGGAGTGTATTTCCAATTATGTTGTAAGAAATTCTTGGTTAGATACGTGTCACGTGTAATGGAGAAATAAGAAATAGCCAATCGCAACATGCCATTAATCTGCCTCTCTTTGGCTTTTATCATTTGTTTATCATTTCTATCTTGATCTTCGACGAAGCTTTAGTAAAGTGAAACATGGTAGACTAATATTCATTTCCTACTTGTTCTTTATCCTATCATTTTGTCGGATTCCTATCCATACCCGATATATATATATGGTCTATCAAAAATACTTTTACAAAATTCGCGAGTGGATTCCTCACACCAAACATGGACAAAAGTCCATATAAACATGACCGCAAATAATTCATTTTCGAGTTATTAAATCTAAAGAAAGTTTACGGTAGTTCGGACTGTGTTGCCATGTAGGCGAGGTTACATTCTTGTACATTTGTGCCAAGTCTGTCTTCAATGTTTAACGTGTGTAGTAGTGTATAAACTGAAAAGTTTTGCGTTTAACAATGACAGGATATTCGTATCGGGTGCAGGCCGATATGATTTGTACATACGGCCGCACGTTTGGTAATGGACGCGAGGATTTCTTTTAACTTAATAACTCAAAAATTAAGGATTTGCGGACATATGTCTATATGGACTTTTCTGTTTGTTTTGCTGTGAGGAACCAAGCCTCAAATTTTGTAAAAGGTATTTTTGATATACCATATATGTAGTGAACACACTACTACACACGTTAAACTTTAAAGACAGACTATCTGCAAATATACACGAATGACAAATGTCCCCTCTGGCAACCATATACTGCAATCTTTCTTTAAAATTAATGCCTCAAAAACGAAGGATTTATGGAAATATTTTTATATGAAATTTTGCCCTTGTTTTAACGTAAAGAACCCATCCTTAAATTTTGTAAAAGTATATTTCATACACCCTGTATACATACATATATATGGTAGGGTGTATATATAGATACACCCTGTGTGTGTATATATATATATATATATATATATATATATATATATATATGTGTGTGTGTGTGTGCTGCCTCACATTTATACATACACCCACACGAATATACACGCTTACACATATTATACACACTCACTCACTAAGAAACAAATAACACACACACACACACACACTTAACAGAGACATATCCTCTCCAGGAACCAATAAAACTGTCTAATTGACCAAGGGAATTCAGAGCGGTATCCAGTTCTTATCTCAAATAACAACTTCAAAGAGACTGTTTGACCAACACAAGGAATGTTAAAAACAAATGAAAACTACAGACAAAAGTTAATTTTCTTCATCAAGACATTCATTTCTGTAGTTTACTGCTACCACCAAGCAGACTTTTTTTCTCCTGATGATGGCCATGTTGGCCGAAACTAGTCGAGGAATCTAAATGAAATAATAATAAAAACGAAGGAATATTAATATACAACCCAGTGTGTCTGAAGATTTTAATTTTTTATATTTTTTATTGTTCAATATATATATATATATATATATATATATATATATATATATATATATATATATATATATTTGTATAACGATATATATTTTTATATATATCAAGAATAATTTGGGGCATAGGACATAGTGTAAAAGTTTTTTGTATCACTTTTCGTCCTTTAGGTGCCAAATTAGGATTAAATTTGTCATTTACCAAATATATAACAATATAACAAATTTATCACGATGAAGTCCTCAAGGATATATATATATATATATATATATATATATATATATATATATATATATATATATATATATAATTTAAAGAACTTTAAGGTTCCATAACTTTATAATTTATTTCCCCAGGATTTTCTTGTTCTCTGGATCATCAGACCTCACTTCCAAGGATGAAAAAAAAAAGTATTTAAACTTACACTTTTAGAGGGTAGTATTAGCCGATGTTAGGTGATATAGAGAGTGATGAGAGATAGTGTGACATACATGATCGAAATTAGAAAGGAAGAGAGAGATCGTAATGTTTTTATATTTATTTTTATTATAATACATAATAGAGGGGAAGGGGAAAAGTATCAGACATT